CTCTTCCTCCTTTAATGTTGACTTTACTCTCTCTCTCTCTCTCTCTCTCTCTCTCTCTCTCTCTCTCTCTCTCTTCACACGTTGAGCTCAAAAATAAAAGAGGTAAAAGGGAGTCTTGGGCTTGGTAGTGACCTTATATAGGCTAATTAGTGATGGTTCAATAAAGCAAATCAAATGGGCATTAAACTAATCCAATTTAATCGTTCCAAATCGAATTTTAATTAAACCTACCATAAACTTCTAAAAATTCTAATCAACACATAAATCAAGTTAATTTTTGAATCGGATGCCGATAAGGCCTTCAATTCGCAAACCGAAATGAAAACGTGAACAGATCTTTCTATGTTAAACAGATATATACACACATAAGGCAACATATGATGCAATATTTCACTTCAATTATTTATTAGGCATAATTAAGCATGAATTAACGTTAATCATGGGTCAGGGTTATTACAGTCTTTCCCCCTTAAAGAGTTTGGTCCTCCAAACTCGAATTACCTTCATTTTGGAAGAATACCGGGTCCAAAGGGAATAGTTCAGGATATCTTTTCATCATGTCTTCTTTTGTTTCCCAAGTTACATAGGTTCCTCCATGATTCTGCCAATCAATCTTTACTAACGGAATTTCCTTGTTTCTCAATCTTTTGATTCGGCGATTCAGAATTTACATTGGCCTTTCTTCGTATGTATAATCATCTTTCAGAAGTACATGAGTCGGCTCAATCACATGTAGTGGATCTCTTAAATAATCCCGAACCATAAAGATATGAAATACATTGTGTATATATTCCATGATTGGTGGTAAAGCTACCCGATATGTCACTGAATTAATCTTTTCAAGGATTTCATAGGGTCCAACATATCTTGGTGCCAATTTGCCTTTCACGCCAAACCGTGTTTGGCCTTTTATTGGAGTCACTTTGATAAATATGTGATCCCCGACTTCATATTCCCTATCTCGCCTTCGGACATCTGCATAACTCTTTTGGCGGCTTTGTGCAGTTTTCAATCTCTGTCGAATCAATTTCACATTTTTAGTTGTTTCTTACACAAGTTTTGGTCCCAACATTGGTTTGTCACCTACTTCAGCCCAACAAATAGGAGAATGACATTTCCTTCCATACAAAGCCTCATAAAGAGTTATCCCAATACTTGAATGATAGCTGTTGTTATACACAAATTCGGCCAATGGTAAATAGGTCTCCTAATTTCTTTGAAAGTCTAAGACAAACATCCTTAACATGTCTTCCAAAGTTTGATTTGTTCGTTCAGTTTTGGCCATCTGTCTGTGGGTGGTAGGCACTACTCAACCGCAATTTAGTCCCCAAAGCTTGTTGTAAACTCAACCAAAATCTTGATGTAAACTTAGAATCTCTGTCAGACATTATAGATACTAGTATACCATGTAATCCCACGATTTCATTTATGTATATGTTAGTTAACTTGTTTGCATTATAAATAGATTTGACAGGTAGAAAATGAGCAGACTTAGTTAAACGGTCAACAATGACCTAGATAGAATCCATATCTTGGGAGAAGCGAGGCAATCCCACAATGAAATCTATGGTAATGTGCTCCTATTTCCATTCTGGTATTGGAAACGGTTGTAACAAACCAGCGGGTCGTTGATGTTCAGCTTTAACTTGTTGGCAATGTAAACATCTAGCCACAAAATCTGTAATACCCTTCTTCATTCCCGGCCACCAGAAATTCTGCTTCAAATCATGATACATTTTTGTATTTCCTAGATGCATAGCAAATTTGGAATTGTGGGCCTCAGTCAGAATGCGTTTCCTCAAATCATCATAGTCCGGCACACAAAGGTGACCTTGAAATTTCAACATATTGTTCTCAAGTACAAACCCGGGCCTTGGTTTTGAGTCAATTTCATTCATGATCTTTTTCAGGAATTCATCCTGTGGTTGTTTCTCCTTAATTTCTTCAATGATTGCAGGCTGAGCGGAAATAGTAGCTAAGATTCCACCATGTTCACACATCACAATCTCAATTTCATTCTTTTCCAGGTAACTTAACAATTCCTTCTAGCCAGTGAACAAACACGACAAATTGCCAATGGATTTTCGGCTCAATGCATCTACAATGGTATTTGATGTGATAACCCTATTCCGTATTATGCTAATTGGTCTTTATTGTGAATGTGATTATGTGCCTGATATGATTTTGTGTGCCATTTATGTGAATATATGTGGCTTTAAATTTCTATCTGTTCACCGTAAGAATATTTGTTTGATTTTCTACTTTGGAATTTAAATTGAAGGCCCTATCGGCCTCAGAAACCGAAATTGACTACGCCATGGTGATTGCCGTAATTTTTAGAGCCTACGGTGAAATTTAATTGAAAATTGATTCGGATCAAAATAATCAGATTCAAAATGGCTAATTAAAGCACCATTACTTAATTTTAAGTGATTTGATTAAATGAGCCTATTAATAGGCCAACTTGCACTCACACTCATTTGTTTGAGTTCAAAATCTGAGTTTATACTTTAGTGAGAGAGAGAGGCCAACTATAGAGAGAGAAAGGGGGAGAATTGTGCAATTTTGGCTCAAGGCTTGGAAATTTGAAGTTAAACTCCAAGAACTTGAGTGTTTGAAGCTCCTAGGTGAGTAATCAACCCCCAATTCATAAGTTGAACTTGTGATTTTGTGAATTCAAGTGATTTGGTAGCTCATGGCAAAGATTTAGTTGAAAATGAAGCTAGAATGTGCATGCATGCATAGAATTATCATAAATAAGCAAGGATTATATAATCTATCATGTAGTTTGTTAATCATGAAAAATTGAGTTGTAGGATCATACATGCAAGCATGATTTGGATGAATTTCATGTATATAAGCATCACTTGACCTATTTGAAATGGAATTGGAATTAAAAGATTGTATGCATGTTTGATTATTGAAGATATGGAGCTCATATGAAGCTTGAAAGCATGAGCCATGATTATACAAAACTGTTGATTGATTTTGAAGAATTGAACCATGATTTTGAGTAATTGGCCTCATATTGTTTGTGCACTCATGATATATAATGCATTTGCATGTTTGGGAACCAAAATTATGGGATTTGGACCTTTGGAGGTCGAATTTGAACTTGATGAACAATTTTGGAAAACCCAGAATTTATGATATCCGCTCGAGCGGGGGAACCGCCGCTCAAGCGGGAAATACGAGCTCCCAGAACTTTTTGCAGACATGATGTCTGCTCGAGCGGGGAAGTTCACGCTCGAGCGTGGAGCTATATAGAATGAATTTCAGCTCGAGCGCCCGATCTCACGCTCGAGGGTAAAAACGAGGCAACCAGTACTTTTGCAGACCTAATGGGTCCGCTTGAGCGGGAAAGTCCACACTCGAGCGGGGACCCCTGTTTCTGAAATTTTGTAAATGTGTTCTGTGTTTCGTTTTTCGTTCTCTTTCACTTCTAAGTACTCTTAGGCATGCATTAAACATTGTAAATGAGTTAAAAGGATAAGAATGAAGCCTAAAGAGGAATATGTGAATTAAGAACGGATTGAATTGTTTGTGACCCATTGTGTGAATGTGTAGGGTCAAGCTCCAGGACAAATCACCCAGCCGATCACTGTGAGTAATATCTTAATGAAGATATTTTGAGATATGTTGTTTGTCCAACTGCTTATTTCTCTATAAGTCTTATGAGTTTGTTAAGTTGAATTGTGGACAAACGTTTGCTATAAATGAATGGGCCAAAGACCAGTTTGACATGAATGAAAGAATGAATGGGCCAAAGGCCAGTTTGACATGAATGATACAAATGAATGGGCCAAAGGTCGTATGACATGTATGACACAAATGAATTGGGCCCGAGGTCGTATGATGTGTTTGGAACCGCAGTCACTTGACCTATATTTATATATATATATATGCTCGATAGAAATACGAATTGGGCCCAAGGCCGTTTGAAGCACGTTGTTCTAAATACCGTTTGTATAACTTCTTTATTTGATATTATTCATTGGGCTTTCGCTCACGCTCATTCATATGTTTGTAGGTGAGCCAAGAGAGGTCCAAACCCAGCCTTGGTGAAGTTTGTGAGAGACAATCAAGGTTTTGGAAGGGTCAGCCCACACGCCTCACGCACGAGACTTGTTTTCACCCTTTTGCTAATTTATTATATTTTGTCATATTGGCGAGAACTTCGAATTACAGTTGTATATAGTTTTGATTGGCTGACTTAGACTTGAATGATCCTATATGTACAGAACTTTGTGTTAGTACATATTTTGATGTGAGTTATTAACATGTATATGTATGGATTGTTATGACGTGCCATATAAACACAGCTCTATGGACAAAAGTTTGAAATTGCTTCCATTTGGCCCCCTTTACTCTGTTGAGTTATGTCTGGAATGGTTTGAGGCCGTAGGTAATCCCTTGATTACTAGCCGGTTATGTCCTTAACCCATGGGGGCAGGTTCGGGTCGTGACATTTGTCCTCCCTGGATGATACAAAATTTGCAGGTTATAATCTTTAATTAATTCTAGTCACCTTCTTTGTCTCATGTTCAGTTCCTTTTGGGTAAAGAAGTATTTTAAGCTTTTATGATCTGTGTATACTTCACAAGTCACTCCATACAAATAATGGAGCCAAATTTTTAAAGCAAAAATTACGGCAGCTAATTCAAGGTCATGGGTTGGATAGTTCTTTTTATGAGGGTGGAGTTGCCGAGAAGCATAAGCAATCACTTTCCCATTTTGCATTAACATACACCCCAAACCTTTGTAGGAAGCATCACTGTAAATTTAAAACCCATCAGTACCATTAGACAGAGTCAAAATTGGTACAGTTACCAACCTGGTTTTCAACTCTTGGAAGGCAGACTCTCTTTGATCATTCTAATCAAATGAGACATTTTTCTAGGTTAACTGGATCAATGGCATAGCAAGTTTTGAACAGTCTTTCACAAATCTTCTGTAATAACCAAAAAACTTCTAACTTATGTCACGCTGGTTGGTCTTGGCTAGTCGACAATAGCTTCAATTTTCTGTGGGTCTACTAATACACCATTCTTGTTAATCATATGTCCCAGAAATGCTACACTGTCTAGCCAGAATTCATATTTGGACAATTTTGCATATAGCTTCTTTCCTTTTAGAGTTTGTAACACGGTTATCAAGTGATTCTCATGATCTTCCCTGCCTTTGGAGTAAATCAAGATATCATCAATAAATACAACAACAAATTCATCTAGATATGATTTAAACACCCTGTTCATAAGGTCTATGAAGGCAGCAGGTGCATTAGTCACCCCAAACGACATTACCAAAAATTTATAGTGACCGTATCTAGTTCTGAATGCAGTTTTCTCTACATCTTTTGCCTTAACCTTTAACTGGTGATACCCAGATCTAAGATCAATTTTAGAAAACAATTGGGCTCCCTGAAGTTGATCAAACAGGTCATCTATTCAGGGTAGTGGGTATTTGTTTTTGACGGTTACTTTGTTCAACTCACGGTAGTCAATACATAGCCTCAAAGACCCGTCTTTCTTTTTGAAAAATAACACTGGAGCACCCCATGGTGAAGTGCTCGGAGGAATAAACTTCTTATCTAATAGTTCTTAAAGTTGGACTTTTAACTCTTTTAGTTCAGATGTTGACATTCTATATGGGATTTTAGAAATAGGTTGTGTTCTAGGTACTATGTCAATTGTAAACTCAATTCTCTATTAATTAAATCCCTAGATAGGTCATTAGGAAACACATCAGGAAAGTCACAAACTACCGGAATAGTTCCTACACTGGTACTATCCGAAGATACAGTCAGCACACTACGTAAATAGCCTCGACACTCTTTTCTCAACAACATCTTGGCTTTCATAAATGAAATCAAATATGGTGGAGGAACTACCCCATTTCCAATAAAAGTAAAGTCAGGTATACCAGGTGGTCCAAAGACAACGGATTTACTTGCACAGTCAATGGTAGCACAGTATTTAGTTAACCAATCCATACCTAGAATACAATCAAAATGATCAATGCTTAAGGGTAGCAAGTCAACATACAGTGTCATATCACCAATGATAATATCACATGCTGGATAAACATAAGCACATGTCATAAAATCCCCAAACGGTGTAGACACAAATAATAAACAATTCATAGGTTCTAATGGTCTAGTTAACTTCCGTGAAAAAGCATGCGATACAAATGAATGTGTAGAGCCAAACTCTATCAACACATGAGCATTCTGAGCACAGATAGAGAGTATACCTGACACTACGGATTCGGTATTCTGTACATCGCCAGGCACAAGTACAAAAACTCTACCCTGTCTTAAGGGTTCTTTTCCTGTATTAGGTTTAACATTTGCTTTTGATCCAGAAGCAGATCCTGCCGCTGAACTTGCCACAGGACGATTGGTATTTTCTGACCCGATTGGATAATCCCTTATCATGTGGCTTGTCTTGCCACACCGAAAACAAGTACCCGATACTCGATAGCAAACTCCTCTATGTCTCATCCCACATTGAGTACAAACATGCGTAGACCCACTGCTTTGACTTGAGCTGCTAGAAGATCCCGTATTTAGTTTCTTATTCATGCCAATTGAACGGTTCTTCTTAAAGCTAAATCCAGATCTTTTGCCTTTCCATTCAGTTATTGGGGCTAGAGCTCGCCTTTTTACTACCAAAATGGCTTCTGCCATTAATGCTCTATCGAATACATTCACATATGTAGGTAGGTTGAGGACTCCTACCCGATCTAGTATATCTAAATCCAACCCACCCTCAAATTTGCGAGCTTTCTTATAATCCGTATCCACCATGTGAGGAGCAAATCTGGCTAACTCAGTAAATTTAGCCACGTACTCAGCTACTGACATTTTTCCTTGTTTGAGTTCCTGAAATTCTGAAACCTTTTGGTCCCAAAAGCACTGTGGAAAGTACTTGTCATAGAAAATTGTATTAAATTGAGCCTATGTCATGTTCTCATTACAATTCCAGACTAGCAACCACCATCTACGAGCTTCATCTTTTAAGGTATATGTGGCCAAAAGAACTTTTTGAGTTTCAGAGTAAGGAAAGACCTCGAATAATTTTTTCATCTCAAGTAACCATTTCTGCCTTCAATGGCTTAATGCCACCTAAGAAAGTGGGTAGCTTCATTTTCATGAGCTTCTGAGTTAGGTTGATAATGTCATTATTGTCTGGTTCAACTTGTACTAGTGGAGGCGGAGGAGGTAAAGGTTGTTGCCTCTATTGTTGCGTTATTACCTCAGTTAGAACAGCAAGCACTTATTCCATTCTGTTTATTCGGGCCTTTGAAGACCCTGATGTGTTATCACTTCTTGTATTTTCCATTGCTATAGGGAAACAGAAGGGCAATAAACATAGGCAAATAGTCATTTTCATAATGTTCAGAACATTCATTCTTAGTTTAATTAATTCAATTTCATGTGTTTATGTTCGGATAAAATTTTCTCATGTACAAAAATTATTACATACTCACACATGCAGACAGAATGTCCCTAATTCTTTCCTAGGACATCCTATAACTCGTATGGACTCGTGCGTGCGTTATAACATGTGCTCTGATACCACTCTGTCACGACCCAAACCCGCCCTTATGGGTTTAGCGTCCTAACTGGCCAGTAATCCTTGGATTACCAAAGGCCTCTGAACAGGATAACATAATGTAAGGGCTACAGAAGCAAATATACAAAATTAACAAAGTCTGTAGAGTTGTGCAAACATACATGGGACATAAATTTTTCAAAATAAACTTATATATATACAGATGTGACGTCAAAAATACATTAGTCTAGCATCACCCAATTACACAGATAGGGTCAAAGGGTACTTAGCCCAAGTATAGATATACAAAACAAGCTCAATTAAAGCCTTGATATAATCCTCTCAAAAGGAACCTCCTCAGGAGGCACGGTAGTTGGCTGACAAAACAGAAACATAGGCCGTCAACTCTAGGCCTGGTCACGTGCCTGCTCACCTACATACATAATATAAATAGTGAGCTGGAGCATAATGAATAATAACAGAGTAAAGGGGTTTAATAAATGTTGTCCATAACAGTTACAGAAAATAGAATTCGTAATTATGTTCAGAAATCATAGTACATAACAGATACAGTTTCAGAGTCGTATTCATAATTAGAACTTGCAATTAATCATGCGTGGCACATTCATTAGCACTAGTAGAAACAGTTGACCCATAAAAGACGCCCATAAAGGCATACAGTTGACTCTCGTGCATGGAGACAATATAGTTGGCTCATGAGACGTATAGTTGGCCCATAAAAGGACACATACATAAGGATCCATAACAGTTGGCTCATGAAACGTACAGTTGACTCATAAATGAGACGTAACAGAACAGATAACAGATGTCATTTGAAGCTAAGAACACCACAAATACATTTCAGAAACATTGAAAAACCATTCATTCATACAGCAAATAATATTTCAGAAACAGATCATCTTATATCATTCAGAAAATACTTATAATTGAACATAGTTTTACAAAGTTATTACTCACAGATAACAGAGGCTTCAAGGTAAACAGACAGAATAAGCAAATCAGATGTCTTGCGGCGCGTGAACTACATAACATAATAGATACATACATTGAAACACACGCTCGGAGTGTACATAACTTATTTGATTTGCTCTTGGTGTGTTTCTAGCTTTTATCCTCATTATGGTGTCTTAATCTTGGCTTAGGAATGCTTAGGATGGAATGAAGATGCAAAAATGTACTTGAAAACATTTTTCAAAACTTGCTGAAAACAGGGTCCATGCTCTAGCGTTGTTTTCCTCGCTCGAGTGGACATGCAAAACGTGAGGGTTTGCTCGAGCGCAACTTCATTCGCTCGAGCGGTCTGCAAACTTTGAAAAAGTACTGGTTACTTTATTTTCACGCTCGATGGACGCTCGATCCTCGTTCGAGCTTAAGACTCAGACCCTCGCTTGAGCGTGACTTTTGTCGCTCGAGCGATCTACAAAAACATATGAACTTTTGGGAGCTTGCATTTCATGCTCGAGTGGACTTATGGTCCCTCGAGCGGAAGTGCACACACTCAGAGTGGTCGCTCGAGCGTGTACTCCTACGCTTGAGCGTGGAAGCAGAATTCTGAAATTTCCAAATTTGCTTCTAAAGCTCAAAACTCATCTTTAAGCATCAAAACTTGATTTCTCTGGATCAAAACTTGAGGAACACTTAGAAATTCATAATACACCATGAATTAAGAATCTTTTCAAGAAATCATGGCCAAATAACTTGCCAATTGTGCAAAAATTCAATTTAAAATTTATGAATGATCCATGAACATGACATGCATGAATTTCTTTGAACTTAAGCTCCTCAAAACATGATCAAATGCTACAAAACAACATGAAACTTGATCATTTCCCAAAACAAAAGGTGAATTCAAGACATGCATGAGGGAATTCTTAGAAATTAAACTCAAAATGTGAGAAAATATGAATGCATGCATGGTATGAGTTACTATTCTCAAATTTTAGCTTGATTCTCATGTTTAATCTTCTAATTCTCTTGAATTCTTACACCAAGCAATTCATATTCATAATTAAGGAATTGAATTTCCTACCTTAAGCCTTGAGTTAGCAAGTGTTGGAACTAAACTCCCTCAATTCTCTTCAATCTCCCCTATTTCCTTCTTAATTCTCTTCTTCCTTTAATGTTGACTTCAATCTCTCTCTCTCTCTCTCTCTCTCTCTCTCTTCACACATTGAGCTCAAAAATGAAAGAGGTAAAAGGGAGTCTTGGGCTTGGTAGTAGCCTTATATAGGCTAATTAGTGATGGTTCAATAAAGCTAATCAAATAGGCATTAAACTAATCCAATTCAATCGTTCTTAATCGAATTTTAATTAAACCTACCATAAACTTCTAAAAATTCTAATTAACACATAAATCAAGCCAATTTCTGAATCGGATGCTGATAAGACCTTCAATTCGCAAACCGAAATGAAAACGTGAACAGATCTTTCTATGTTAAACATATATATACACACATAAGGCAACAAATGATGCAACATTCACTTCAATTATTTATTAGGCATAATTAAGCATGAATTAACGTTAATCACGGGTCAGAGTTGTTACAATTATTTGGTAAACGATTGGAGATGCTCTAAATAAATCTAAAATAGTATTCAGGTTGGTTCAACAACACACATTCTTCAATAAAATATAATTTGATAAATCATAAATATACTTCTTGAAATTTGTTTAAAATATAAATTATTTTTTATAATTTTTAAAATTACAAATACCTCTGTGACAACTCTCACACCTGTTTACTGATAATACTACTGATTACTGCTAAACTGTGACTGAACATGATTAAGTAACTGATTTGACTGACATTCTGAACTAATTGATTGAGTGTATTAGTTTAAACGCATTTCTATCTGTTTGACTGTTAATTGATCTATTCATGTTTTAAGTGTCGAACTGTGAATTGAAGGCCTTATCGGCGGCCGAATCTGAAATTGATTAGTGTTTCATGTTAATTAGAATTTATGTGATTTTATGGTATGTTTAATTGAAATTTGATTTGGTATGATTAAATTGGATTAAATAGTGTTGAATCACATTAGTTGCCTTAACTACCATTTTGCCATCTACTAGGCCACCTCACAAATCTTGTTTAGAGCTTAGTCTTGCATCATTTTGTGTTCACTTCCTAGACCAAAAACGTGAGAGAGAGCTAGAGAGTTGGAAGAGGAGCTTGAGTTCATCAAATTGGCTTGAAACTTAGAAGATTTGAAGGATAATTGCATAATTGAGCTTCCATTCTTGAAATTGAGGACCTAAGGTAGGAGAATCATCTTCTTGAACTTGTATTTAAGTTGTATCTTGCATGTTTCATGGAAGTTTGGTGATTAGAGTCTAGAATTGGTTCAAAATGTTGAATTGAAGCTTAAATCATGCATGCTGCTTGGAGACAAATCTGGAAATTCCAGATTTTGGATCCACGCTCGAGCGAGGAACTTCACGCTCGAGTGTACACTCTGAGTTCATGCAGTCCGCTCGAGCGAGTAAAGTAACGCTCGAGTGTGAAATGCGTGTATCCAGTACTTTGCATGTGTTTACAGTCCGCTTGAGCGAGGGAATGCACGCTCGAGTGAGGACTTGTGTCTCACGCTCGAGTGGGGGTCGAGCGCCCGTCGAGCGTGAATTTCATGCATCCAGTACTTTTGCAGTCCGCTCGAACGAGGAAAGTCACGCTCGAGCGTAGATCTTTTGTCTGCATGTCTGCTCGAGCGAAGAAAGCCACGCTCGAACGAGACTCCTGTTTTCTAAAAATTTTGAAAAGTGTTTTAAAGTGCATCTTTGCATCCTTATTCCATCCTAGGCATTCCCAGGCCTAGTTTAAGGCATCTTAATGAGGATAATGCTGTAGAACCACACCGAGTCAAGATAGGGACTAAGTCATTGATTCCCAAGTGTGTAACTTAGTGTGTGTTCATTCTGTAATTGTAGGGTTGGCATCCGAGGACGCTCTAGCCTATCTGTAGCCCAGTGCTCTGTAAGTAACAATGTTGTAAAGATATATTCAAACATGAATATTTTCTGAATGATCAACTGTACTACTTTCTAAAATGATATTTCTTACTGAATGAATGTTTGTCCTATTTGCGAACTGTATTCATGGCATCTATAGCAATTTACTGTCACTGTACTGTATTGCTACTGTCACAGAGATCTCTGTCGATTCTCATGTTTGGAACCACTACTATTTACTGATATGGTGGCCATCAACTGACTGTTCGGTCTGTTAAGACCTACTGTACTGTTTGCTATTGGATGTACCACTTATGACTGTTATGATCGAATAACTGA